CTTTTGGTTTCGTAGCTACGGGGGGGGGGGGAACGTGCAGATTTGCCCTCGCAGAGGAGGGAGAGCTTGTACCTGAATAAAACTTGGTTGTAAAGGTGCCACTGGACTGTTTTGGCGGGGGGTGGGCTCTGCAGCTTACCTGGCTGCTTCTTGCTCTGACTGAGGGCTGCTGGGAGTAGGAGGCGGGGCTTGTTGCATGTGCCCACCCCCTGGGCTCTTTACTGCCGGAGCTCCGCTCCTGTCCACTCCTGCAGGAAATTACCCCTGAGGCTAGCTGAGCAGTGCAATTTCTGCAGCCACTTGGGTGGCTTGACTGATGAACTGGCCCCAATCGACATCTTCATTTCCTTGGCCCTTTCCTTCTCTGACAAGTTTGCTCCAAGATAGCTACACTGTCCTCTTAACACTTGATTTCCCCACCTGGCCAGCTGTGCCCCGGCCTGCCCACTCTCCCCACCCTCTCCCTCCCCTTGGGAGACGGCATCTCCTCCACAGCCGGCTTGAGTCTAGCATGGATGCATCCATGAGAACAGGGCTCTTCCCAGCATTTCTCAGCCTGTGGGAACCTTTGGAATTCTGAGAACAGGCCCATGGACGCAAGCACAAAATGCCTGCTGCAGGAGGCGGAGCTAACCACAAAATATCAGGGATCAAGTTTGGGTATAAGTCCGAGAGTAACTCTTCACCGTTCCAAGCAGAAACTCTGTTTAATCTACACAGCCAATCAGAAGCCCTGCTGGGCAAAAGCCCTACTTAGCACCCACCCACTTTCTAAAAGCAGTTGGTGGGCCCCAGGAAAGGTATTGGTGGGCATCACGGTGCCCGTGCACACCACATTGGGGCCCCCTGCATGACAGGCTGGCAGGATTTCTTTACGGCAGTGCTATTCTGGTGCTCCGCGTGGGACACTTGGCACAATATCGTCTTCTCCCGATGGCCTGGCAGGAGCAGATGAAGAAAATCACCCCCTTGCCCTCCTTTGCCACCAGTGGTATAGCGTTGCCAACTTTCAGATACAACCTGGAGATTCCTAGGAATTAACATTGATCTTGAAAGCGCAGAGATCAGTTCCTCTTGGGAAATTGGCTGCTTGCCATTGTGGTGTCGTGGTTAGGAGCGCGGACTCTAATCGGGGAGAATCGGGTTTGATTCCCCACTCCTCCACATGCAGCTGCTGGATGACCTTGGGTCAGTCACAAGTTCTCTCCGAGCCGTTCTCTCACGAGCAGTTCTCGAAAGCGCTCTCTCAGCCCCACCTACCTCAATAGGTGTCTATTGTGGGGAGGGGAAGGGGAAGTAGATTGTAAGCTGCTCCGAGACTCCTTCGGGTAGTGAAGGGCGGGGTATATACATCCAATCTCTTCTTTTTCTTCTTCTTATTTAGAGGGTTGACCGTACACCAGTATAGCCTGAGTGAGCTCCCTTCCCTCCCTGAACCCTCCCCTCCCTGGGAAGGATTTGATTTATTAAATTTCTACCCTGCCTTCCCGGGTTAAAAGGGAATTTCCCAACTGGGAGTTGTCAAACCTACAGTGCGGTGTGTGAGTCTGTGATTGGTCCGCACCTCCTACGGTGAGGTGTGTGAGTCTGTGATTGGTCTTCACCTCCTACGGTGCGGTGTGTGAGTCTGTGATTGGTCCACACCTCCTACGGTGCGGTGTGTGAGTCTGTGATTGGTCCGCACCTCCTACGGTGCGGTGTGTGAGTCTGTAATTGGTCCGCACCTCCTACGGTGTGGTGTGTGAGTCTGTGATTGGTCCACACCTCCTACAGTGAGATGTGTGAGTCTGTGATTGGTCCACACCTCCTAGCCCTGAACACCAGTTGTGGCTCAGTGGCTGTTAGCCGGATGCAAACAGAATCCTCTAGCTGTGCTACCGAAGGTCCCCTCCACTCGTCGTTCTGGCCTGGCCCGCTCAACCCAGCTTTCTCCCTGCCTCTTCACCAGCCTCGCTTTCAACTAAGTCCCTCCTCTCTCTTGAGGAAATTCTGCAAAGGGGGGTGGGAAGTACACGAATGTTCAAGTTGGGTTCC